GGGAGATTAGGATGACTTACCAACGAACTCATCACAGCACCTTGCTTTGACACCCATCTATTGGTGAACTTTCGATACCACTGCATGTACCCATCGTGGTAGCCCATTGGTCTCGTCTCCAGCATCCCTTGGACCACCCATGTCCCTCTATTCTCCCAGATGTTGATGTAGTACTGATGCTTTAGGATCCAATTCTTTGAAGCGTGTCGGAGGTCGAAGGCATGGAGCTCCCTAAAACCTTGAGGCGGGGTCTCGTCATTGATTTCCACCTCATTCTGGATGTGAGTTACCAGCCACGGGATCGACACTTGTCCCGCATTCAATGGTGGATGCCCCCGTCCTTGAATTGGTGTGGTGGTCGGCATGTCAAATCCCAATTCAGCAAGAATGAGCGACCCCCAATCTCCGTCGGGTTTGGTAGTGGAACCAATGATGGCATCTCCAGAAATCGGCAGCCCGGTGAGGATCGCCACGTCTTTGAGGGTGATCGTCATTTCCCCCTCCGGGAGGTGGAACGTATGGGTTTCGGGACGCCATTGCTCCGCCATTGGAGTTAGGGGTGGGCAAACGATTCGGTAAACCCGAACCGAACTGAAACCGAATTAAACCGAACCAAAACCGAATTAATGCTATTCGGTTCTGAATTCGGAAGGAAAATATGGATAGTTCGGAAATCAGGGTTCTTTCAACCGAACCGAATTTCTGAATTTCCAACCGAAAAACCGAACTACTATAATTGCAAGCTCCAAATGGTGGATTTTTTTTTTTTGATAATGGTGAAAATTTATTATGAAAAAAGAAAGCAAAGAAACAGGAATACAAGACCAGGGCTCAATAGAACTGAGCAGCCTGAAAAAGAGAACTGAAGAAAACAGAGAACGGGAGATCAAAAGAGAAGGAAAGGCACAGTTAAATGGGTCGGACCATTCCTACTGTGAAGAAACAAGAAAAAGGACCTACAACAGAAAGCAACACCAACAGCACCTTCAACAAGCTGAAGATGAGCTGGTCCAAGTCCCTACAAATCGAGAAAGAGTTGCAGGACACAAACAGATTCAAAGAAAAACAGGAAAAGAATCAGCTGGTTGTGGAGAGGACTCTTCTCCTCCGTTCGTGGAACCATTGGCGCCCTTCTTCTTTGGTAATTTTACCCATGGCAATAGGCCATTCAAGCATGGATTTGAAAGCTCTTCGGGCTATGGTTATTGATCCCTGTCTTGCATCTTGGAAGGTTCGTCTATTTCTTTCAAGCCATGTCTGCCAGCATACAACATGAAGAGCACAGAAATTAATCCATTCATCCAGGCTGTTAGGGGAGCCTGAATACCACTCGCTGATTGTTGATGTAATATCTTCTCTGACATTATCAATTTTTGGACAAGCATCTCTGCATCTTTGCCAAACATCTTTTCCAAAATCGCACTTTATGAACATATGATCAGCTGATTCTTCATCCTTCTCGCATAGGACGCATCTATTGGCGATGAACCATCCCTTTTTCTTGAGATTATTGAGTGTTTGTATCTTCTTCAAAGCAGTTAGCCACATAAAAATGCATACTTTGCTTGGTATGATGGACTTCCAAACGGACTTGGCTGGGAAATTAGGGATTCCCGGGAATCTGTTCTTCACGAGGTACCTGTACATGGAATGGACAGAAAAAGGTTTCTCTAGATCGGGTAACCAAACGGGTCGGCTAGGCCCGCTTGTAACCCTAACGTTAGCGTGTTCATTAAGGAAACCAATCAACTGAGAGAGTTCAAGCTCAGCACCCCCTCTCAGATTAATATTCAAAGGAAGATCCCAAAAAATACCTCCATTATTGCGTGAGATCATGTCACAGATTCGGGCATCAGGAGAGGAGGAAGCGGCTGCAATCCTTGGGTATTTGGTGGCGAGAGAAGTTTCTGGGATCCAAAAGTCATGCCAGAAAGAGTCCCACGCTCCGTTTCCAGGCTCGATGCAAGTCATCTTCCAGAAAGTATCATGCTCCTTTGAGATATTGGCCCAGGCTGAATTGGTGAAACCACTTCTGCATTTTCCGGAGTACCATTGAGAGTGATGATTAGGATATTTGCGTTCGATTAACGTCCTCCACCATCTGCCTTTTTCAGTCGCAAACCTCCAATGCCACTTGCCTAGCATAGCACTGTTGAAGCAAGCCAGATCAGTTAATCCCAGCCCTCCTTGAGAACGAGGAGCCTTGCAAAGTTCCCATTTAACCAATTGAGCTTTGGGATTGTCAGCTGTTACGCTCCATATGAATCTGCGCTGTATGCTTTCCATGCTTTTGAAAACTATGCTCGGGGCTTTCAGCAGTGAGAAAAAGTAAACTGTTTGGCTGGATAGTACAGATTTATTGAGCACCACTCTTCCCCCCATCGAAAGGAACCTACTTTTCCATCCCTCCAACCTCTTCTGGTACTTGTCAATAATTGAATCCCAAGTAGAGACTGCATTTAATTTGGCCCCAAGGGGGAAACCCAAATATTTAGAGGGATCTGTACTCCATTTGCAACCGAAGATGTTGGCGAAAAACTCCGGGTTGGAGACGTCTCCAATGGTGTACATGACAGTCTTGTCTAAGTTGATGTTAAGTCCCGTGACTGCTTGAAAACACACAAGGGTGGCAATGATGTGCAGAACTTGGTCATAGGAGGCATCGCAGAAAACCAACGTATCATCTGCAAAGAGAAGGTGAGTAACCTCCCCTCTGTTCTCATCTTCATTCATAGAGAAACCCTTAATAATGCCTGCATCACGTACTTTAGAAATCATGTGATCAAGGATGTCCATGATCAGGACAAAAAGGCCTGAGGATAACGGGTCACCTTGCCTGATCCTTTTGTGCATTGGGAAGAAACCTTTGGATTCCCCATTGATGAGAATTGAGACTGTGGGAGAACACATAGTACCTTGGATCCAGCTGAGCCATCTCGGGGGGAAGTCAAGACTCGAAAGAACCTTGAACAAACACTCCCAATTTACGTTGTCGAATGGTGGATTTTTATGTTTGTAGTTGTTTTTAGACTTAAATATTTGAAATGTTTTATGACTTATGTGTTGAAAAGTTTGATTTTATCATTGATGATGCATATAATTGATATTTATTGTTTATATTAGGGGTGAAAAATAATTTAAAAGTGAGAAAATACAGGTAGCTTCACAAATTCGGTTTTGGGTGAAAAACCGAACAGAATTATAATTCGGTTTAAACCAACCGAACCGAATTATAATTCGGTTCGAATTCGGTTTGAGGTTTGAGAGAATTCGGGGACCCGATATTCCTAATTTCGGTTCGGTCAAAACTGAACCGACCGAATGCCCACTGCTAATTGCAGTAAGCAGATCGTTGTCGATCTCGATCCGCATGAAATGGCGCAACTTGATTTTTGGCAGAAGCCGGACAGAGGTTCGACGGGTTCGGGTTTTTTAGGGACGGGAGCTTAGCGGGACGAGGGCTTTAGGGTCAAACTCTAGTAATTCTTTATGATGTGGAAGATCGGACTTAGCCGCAAACACATAGCATACTTAGAACGAGACTAGAGCGGATAGATTGAGGGAGAAAGAATTGTAAATGTGGTGGTGTGATTTGAAAGAGGGGGGAAGGGTTCTATTTATAGGGAAGGATGGGAGGGATCTGCGAAAATTAATGGGGATGGTTCACCGCGTCCCTCAAAGGCGGTGAATGCATCGCCTTTTCCTAAAACGGTGCCAGACGTGGATCGAGCGACGTGGTGTGCTGTGAGGCGTCGTATCTGGGAAGAAAACCACGATCCGCGCTTCACCGCATCCAACGGCCACGGTGACTGGGTCAGCGACGCAGATCGCTGATGCAAACAAACACGGGGTATTCACCGTGTTTGTCTAACGCGGTGAATACACTGCCTTTGTCCACGTCAGCGATCCTCGTCGCTTGATCGTGGCCTACTGAAACGGTTTAGTTTTCACCGCTTTTGATTAAAACGATGATGACTTCACCGTCTGCGTCTAAAACGGTGATTGGCTCACTCGTTATTCACCGTTTTAGAGGACGACGGTGAATACGTCACCATTTTTTTTTAAATGGTCAAGTGTTCACCGTCTTTGTCAAACACTGTGATAGTCTTCACTGCATTTGTCAAAAACGGTGAATGCCAAACATGTGTAGTTTTGGAAAAAAAATTATAACTTATGTATTTTGGGAATTTTTTTTAAGAACTAGTGTATAATGAGATTTTTTCCTTATGATATTATTTTCATTAGTGAAAATTGGTATGGTATCGGTATCCCAATACTAAATACCGAAATCACGAATACCGAATTACACTCGAAAGTCAATCCGAATCTCAATCCCTAAATAGTTTCGGTGTTTCAATCTCAATCCCTAAATATTCAGGTATCCCAATCGATATTATCGAATACAAAATTAATTACATTTGAAATAAATAATTGAATATATAAATTAGATTTGATTGTTTAATTTAGGGCAAAGAGACTAAGTAAAGAGCCTTGACTTGAGTTTGCCTAGAGCTAGAATATGGATAAGGAGAATGAAGAAGATGTGACATCTCAAGTTCCTGTCATTGGTAATCTTTAATTTGAGGTATTGAAGGTTGAGAGACGACTAATACTATTGTTTGCTTTTTGGTGTTATGAAAATAACAAGCTATTAGGTGAGAGATGAGAGTAACATAAATTGGAAAGTCAAAATTGAGTTGGATGGGGACTTTTGAGTTGTGAAACAAAGATGAAATGATCTATGTATAATTAAATGATACTTTTGGTGATTGAGAGTCGTGTAGTAGTGAATGAGAGAGTGTAGTTGAGAGGATAAAATACAAACTAGTTTATATTTCGGTATTGATCGGTATTTCGGTATATGTCGATCACAATCCGATAATCCCTAATACCGAATTACAATTGAAATTCAATCTCGATCTCAATCCCAAGAAATAATACGTGTATTCGGTAATACCAAATATAGATTAATTCGGTACGGTATTCAGTATATCCCAAATACCGGTACAAAACTTTCAGCCCTAATTATAACCCAATTAGAATTGTTAGTCTCAATGACAACCCATTGAATGGTAACCGAGTCTAAAATAGTGCCTGAACTCTATTACACATATATGATCACTATGATTGCTAGTCTTATACGGAGGGTTCTTCACACGATTCAACGATTATGCATCGAATTATTGATCTTATCAGTTATCGATTTTTATCTTTGTCTATGGAGATACGTCAAAACTGTGTATGAAACAAGTCAACGACAATGAAGAAGCGGGAAGATATCGGCAATGAACTTGGATGCAATTCTCCGATAAGCCATTTGGGTAAGATGAACTCCATCCCAACTAATGTGCCGATTCGGGTCTGGGCAAATCGCCACCCGGGCAGCTCCACACATTCTCTTGGAGTTGAATCCATAGTCGCCTCCACCTCCACAACACGCCTTTTGCAATGATCTTGCGTTAAAACCTGTGTTTTTTTTCTTTCACGTTACATGGAAAGATTCACCACATGGTAATGTTTCAACGAGAGAATCAAGGGAGAGACAAACATAGGTAAAATAAACTAGTTGGATTTTGCAAATGAATAGGTGATGATTAGAATATCGAATTTGGTAGGAAATGAAAAGGTCGCGTGGATGTGATATTTCTTTTGTTGCCGGTGTCTGATTAATGAGAGTTTTGGAGTATCGCTTAATATTATCTCAATCAACAATGAAATTGGAATATATATAGTTGCGGTACTAAGTTTAGATTAAAAGGGGTAATGCGTTATGCAAAATCACATGGAAAATCATGGTTACCTCATTATGCTATGGTCTTTTATAAGGAAGGAAGCATTAAACTGTTTGGAGTTTGGAGTAAAATAAAAATGACTTGATCGACGAGAGACCTTACCTAGTGATGTGGAATGGTTGAGGATCCATTGGTAAGCTTTGTAGTAGTCTCCATAGATTATGGTCACATTAGGGTTGTCCTTCTTCATAAGTTGGATTGCTTGTTTGAGATGTTCATTGTGAAGGATCGAGAGGCTATTCAACTTCTTCAGGCAGCTGAACTCGTCGTAGGCCAAAGCTGTATTTGTTTTGAATTTGGCGAGGTAGATTGGTAAACAGCCAAATGGGAAATTTCCTGGAACAACTATGCGTCTAGCACCATAGGTAATGACTCTCTACGAGGACAAAATGAATTGGTTAGGTAAAATATGATGGAACAAACAAGTATGTTAAAAATTACAAGGACATAAAATTAAAAATCACTCTCTCAGGAGTCGTATAATTTGGATGCAAGTCAAGAATCAATTCATTCTAACTACACTACTGATCAAACCGGTTGCTTGAGTTGAACCTAAAGAATGACTGGATACTCTGGACCACATATACATACCGTGACTGCATTCTTTACAGCTTCAACAACATCAGGAACCATCGCCATCACCTCCTCAATCTTTCGGCCCTGATACAACCCATAAAAGTAGTCACTTTCTCCAATCTCTCCAACCATGAAAAGCGCGGATTTAAGCTTCTCGCCACAATCTGCCAATCACCAAACCCCAACGTGAGACTTGTGTCTCGTAAGATCAAAACCAAGAGATGTTGGTTGGGGTTTCTTAGTAAAAAAACCTTGTTCACTGTAACAAATGCTGTTGAAGTGAGTGAACATCCAGTCAAGCTGGTCGCTGAGAGTGGTGTTCGTGAGCAGAGGAGAGATTCCCTTCTCCGAAAGGACATCGAGCGGCAGAGCGGTCGAACCGGCGACCGCGAAATTCGCTCCACGGCCTCGACCCATGTTGGAATTCGGGTCGAGGTACGGGTCCAGCAGAGGGATTCCAGCCGAGATAGCTGTTTTGACAGTGTATTTCAAACAATGTCCGTAGTAGTATCAGTAAGAACATGAAAGAATATATTGGCCTTGTGAAAAATGGCAACAGTTTTTACCCAGGTAATCAACAATCAACAAGCCATCGGAGCAACGACCCGTTGGCCTTTTCTTGATCAAGAACGACTCTCCATAAGGCAGGCGACCAAACCATGATTCAGGGTGCTGCTGAATCAGATTCCCGGTATCTGAAAAGGAATCTCCCAGCTGGTAGATTGCATCGAATCCGCATCTCTTCAGAATCTTATTACTGTTGTTATTGCCAGAGGAGGATGACAAACATGGCGTCACAAGGAGAAGAAGTGGAAAAACAGAGCAATGGGAGAGGAGGGTGATGAATTGGAAAGCTGCTGCTGCCGCTGCCATGGTCTGAAACAAAGGCTTCGATCAAACAGAGTTTGCAGAGCTCATCAATTCAATTGTCTTCTATGTGTTATCTCAGTTGGGGGAAAGGAAAAGGAGAGAGAGGGAGGGACCCCAAAAAGGTGGTGGGAAAAGGAAAAGAAAAAGAGTTTGATCATCTTATCCCACTTCCCTTGTCATCATTGTAAAGAGTTCCATACCGGAGAGATTCATGGCGAAATCAATGGCTCTATGTGTGTTTGTGTTTTCTTGCCAAATTTCTAGCTTTTATTGTTTCAACATGTTCTATGCCGGTCTCTGTTTATTGTATTGTTTATGCGTTAAACTATTGGAATCGATTCATATTTGATAAGTGTTCAATGAAAAATGACTAGCATATTATGTATGTGCTAGTAATTACGGCTCATGCCAAAAACTAGTTAACATCATCTATATAGTATTAGTTTCTGGTTAACATGATCAATATAATATATATATTTTCTATAAGGAACACGATCAATATTAATATTAGAGTACAATCCGACTAAGATCCTGACCCCTCAAACATCCTTGGCTTAGAGAGGTTGGGACCAACGAAACTAAAGGCAATAAGTTTTTTGAGATTTTTCCAGAAATAGCACCTTTAAAAAAAAAATTACAAAACTAGCACCCTTCCAAAAATATTTACAAAACTAGCACCCTTTTTTATTGACCGCACCCTTGTGGTGCGTTTTACAAATAAACCGCATCCTCCAGGTGCGTTTTATATGTAAACCGCAATTGGAGGGTGCGTTCCATTCTGGTGGGCCTGAAACGCACTTTGGCCATACGTTTTCAGGTCTGGCCTACATAAAACGCATGGCCGAGGTGCGGTTTATGCCTGACCTACGCAAACCGCACCTTAGCGATGCGTTTTATTCCTCCAAGAACGAACCGCATCTGTAAGGTGCGGTTTGGCCAGGTAGAACGCACCCCCCAAGTGCGGTCTATGTGTCAATAATTTTCCGACAACCGACACAGCCTTGCAGAGAAAATTATGGACGTAGGGCTGCATGGCAGACTAAAACCGCACCCTAGAGGTGCGGTTTTCGTCATTTTTTCCCCTATATAAGACTTGCCGGAAAACCTCTACTCTTCACACCTCTCCTTCTCTCTTTCATTTTTCTGTTGTATGTCTATATTTATTTAGTGTTTTTGCCATTAACATTAACTCGTAAGTTTATTTTGTGTTACTTTTTATGCCATTAACATTAACTCGTAAGTTTATTTTGTGTTACTTTTTATGCCATTAACATTAACTCGTAAGTTTATTTTGTGTTACTTTTTATTGTTATTTGTGATTTGTGATTTTTATGATATTAACTAAACTACGGTTTGTTTGTGTGCAGATGGCATTCCGTCAGTTCACGCTTGGCTTACGGTGGAATGGTTACACGGAAGAGACCGGAAAGGGGGCCACCTACGTCGGTGGCAATTTTCAGAAAATAACGGTCGGTACCAGACCGAAGCTTGAAGACCTCCATCAAATATGCACTGACGTTACTTACATGGATGGCACGAGAAGAGTAGATCGTATGGTGTACCGATACCCAAACAGAGCAACTGGGTCATTGTACACATTAATTATTATATATTAGTAAGGGTTTTTTTTCGTATAACTAAATTAATTAAATTAAATATGCGACATAAAACATAATTTTATTATCATAAAAAGACATTTCATATTATCATAAAAAAAACGTCCTAAATTAATTAACATAATAACATTGTCAATGAATAATAATTTAAAGAGGTACATACATATTATCGTAAAACAAACATACTAAATTAATTAACATAAATAACATTGTCAATGAATAATAATTTAAAGAGGTACATACATATTATCGTAAAACAAACATACTAAATTAATTAACATAAATAACATTGTCGATGAATAATAATTTAAAGAGGTACATACATATTATCGTAAAACAAACATACTAAATTAATTAACATAAATAACATTGTTAATGAATAATAATTTAAGTAGAAACATACATATTTAAATGTTTGGTAAATAATTTAATCATATTAGTTGTTTTAAATAATTTAATCGAATACAAAGCAACACTCGTTAGACTCTTAGAAGAGGTATACATCTTCTTAGAAACGCAGTCTTTTTGACAGAAAAGGGGGGATCCGAGGATCTCTTAATACCCGATTTTCCCAGGTAATGGGAGGATATGATAATCGCTTAAAACCCCATTTCCTTAGACGTGCATCTCTTTATAAAGAGTCGAAGTAAGTGGCGCTATGTATTCGATTAAATTATTGAAAACCACCAACACGATTAAAAAATAAACAAAAATTTATTTTATATTACACTAGGCACATTAACAAAATAAAAGAAGGACAAATGGTGAAGAATTGTATGTACCGGGTGATCGTTCCAAACATCCCTTGACCGATGGTTGGGTTGGTCGTACAAGTCGGTTGGATCCAACGGTCCTTGCTCGAGATAATACCGTTGGTTGTATATATCGACGTCCTCCCCAACGGTCCTTGCTCTGGAAACTGACGCTCCATTTTTCCAGGCGAGAAAACGCACCTCGCCAGTGCGATCCAAGATCCACCGCGCGAATTGCTGACGTGGCTATGCTCCAGCCCGTCGGATCGCACCTCAATCGTGCGGACTGGAAGGCCGCTGGCCACCAAACGTTGAACGCAGCTTGGGGATGCGTTTCATAATCTGACTTCGCATAAATCGCATCTTAGGGGTGCGATTTATGTGGAAAACGCATTCTTAGGCTGCGTTTTGTTTATAAAACGCACCTCTAAGGTGCGTTCCATAAAAATAGGTACTAGTTTTGTAAATATTTTTGGAAGGGTGCTAGTATTGTAATTTTTTTTTTAAAGGTGCTATTATTGGAAAAATCTCAAGTTTTTTAATCTGAAAATCGCAACCAGATGAATCGAGACCAGTGTGAACTGACTCTTGGCCCGTCCCTACAGATAGTTTGTCATTGTCATATTATAGTAGACAATATATTACAAGTTATTCAAAATTAAAATGCGATAGTCCGCTGTTGAGGGAAAAAATCCCAAAGTACACTAGTTCTTAAAAAAAATTCTCAAAATACATAAGTTATAAATTTTTTTCCAAAACTACACATGTTTGGCATTCACCGTTTTTGACAAACGTAGTGATGTTGTTCACCGTTTGAGACAAACGCGGTGATGTTGTTCACCGTTTGAGACAAAGGCAGTGAATACTGGCCGATTTTCCTTTAAATACCACTCCCACCTGCAGTTCTAAAAACGTAATCCCTCCCCCCTCTTGAAATTTCAGCAGCCAAAACCGAGCAACATACACAGAACATGAATTTTCGGTATGATTTAATTTTCGTATTAATTCCTAATGGTTGTTTTTAGTAGTTATATTGTTATGTTATGAATTACTTATCGTAGCAAATATGGCCGATTTACCGGAATTATGCTAATAGTTAGTTATTGTAAATTGTAGATATGGGTAAATTCAAGAAGTTTCAGCTTATTATTTGGTGGAATGGAAGGGTTACAAACTCTAACATAGGGATTGATTATGAGGACGGTGTATCCACTAAGCTGAAAATTGAGTCGCGATTCAATTTTCAAGAACTCTGTGATATTTGTGCAGACAGGGTTTGTACGAGCGGACAGACGAGACTTGGTAAAATTAGTTAGCGGTATCCATGTATGAGTACTGGCGGGCTTGTGTACCAAGAAGTTTTCATAAACGATGATGACGTGGTTACGATGATGTTACAGTTCCTAAGCGATAACGGGATGCGGCAAGCAAAGGTGTATGTTGAGACCGAGGCGGTCGGTGAAACTCATTCTCACCAGTATTCTTATGATGATGGTTTTGCAGGAGGGTACGGATGGGGTGGTAGTTCGAGCAACTACGAAGGAGGTGGTTATACAGGAGGTTACGGAGAGGGTGGTAGTTCAATCAACTACGGTGGAGGTAGTAGTGCAGGATGAGTGTCATCAGAAGAATACTCGCAACAGGATCAACCTGCCGATGGCATTCAATGGCCTGCTTGGGGGCCTGAGTGGGCTGAAATCGAGAATACCATTCGAGCAGGGCGTACTTCACATGAGCGAGAAGACTATGTTGGTGATGGTGGTCATGTTGATCCTTCTGGGCCGAGCTATCCATTCGACTCGAGCGACGATGATACTGAGGAAGATTTGAGATCAGTGAGCGAGGAGGAAGATACTGATGATAACGACGACGAGGCGGTATTTCGTGAGGCACCGACGCCATACTACACACAGGTTCCAACTCAATTTTTACATAGTCAGAATGATACCCCCGACTTTGCCCCTTCGCCAGTGTATAATCTGACGGTCAATTTGGAGGTGGATATGACGTTCTCATCGAAGGACGATGTGCAGGATGCCTTTACCGAAGAGGCCTTGAGGCGCAATTTCGAGTGGAAGGTAAAATATTCTGACAGTAAACAATTACATGTCATATGCAAGAATGATGCATAGGGTTGTACGTGGCAACTGCGGGGTGCAAATATGAAAAGAAAGGGTGCCTGGGTGATTCGAAAAGCTGAGACCAACCACACTTGCTCCTCGTCCATACGTTCCCAGGATCACAGGCAACTTAAAGCAAAGAAAATTTGGAGAACTATTAAACACCTTATCGAAGCACAACCAGATATCAAGGTTATAGTTATCATGACCGAGGTGAAGGATAGACATTCTTACACGATAAGTTACAAAAAAGCATGGCATGGAAAGCAGAAAGCTATGGGTGAGGTGTATGGTGATTGGGATGATTCGTATGCTTTATTCCCTAGACTTATGGCCGCAATGGAGGAGTCCAAACCTAGGACTAATTTCGTGCCATTATACAACAATGTATACACTGAGGATCAAGTTCGAGTACAGGAGAAGTTGATGTTTCACCGTGTTTTTTGGGATTTCAAACCATGCATGGACGGATTTGCGTTCTGCATACCGGTTATTCAGGTATTTTAATACATTTTTACTATTTGAAATGTTTCTATTCTTGCAGACCAAGTAAATTTCATACTAATTACTTCCTAATATTTAATTAGGTTGATGGAACCTTCCTTACTGGGAAGTACAGAG